ACTAGAATTTCTCATGGACTCAGTACCAAGTCGGTTGCTCAGCAGCGCCTGTCTTACTTTCCTGATGAAGCACGCACAGTTGGTTGTGGACGGTTGTAATCAGGGAATAGTACAATAGTATTGTACTACTCCCTGGTTGTAATGCCAAGCCTACAGTCAAATGCTATCAGAAAGGAAGAGTAGTGTGGCAAGCCATACGTCTACACACCATCTCAAGGAGAAGATGAGAGCACAAGTAAAGGATGTAGAGTGGCAAAATAACTTCTGACCACGTGTTTTCAGGATTTCCGCAAATGGGAGGGCTCTCCATCTGAGATCGGATCTCAGGAGCTGGCCTCACGTCTGGTGTTTCAGATGAAGACATTATTTACAGAGTGGACGCAGTGACAGCTTGTCTGCAGGCAGGAATACTATTTGCCAAGATTAACTTCATCCCAACAATGAATGACTACCTGCAATAATGCCGGGTTTCATCTCTCACTACATGGATATTTAGGGGAGGGATTTGATACACCGACTATTCTGCCACAACCCTGCGTCAAAGTTGGAATGGAGAGCAATCAATGGAGAAGCGATCATGTCTTATAGTGCTAAGAAGTAGTGGAGCTCGTGAGAGATAAGGTGGCAACTTCAGATGCAGATCGACGATATGCATAATATCCTGGAAGTTTGACAATGTGCATTTTTGTCCCAAACCAAGAGCACTATAAGTCTATATCCCTTGCTGAAGCATTATAATCAGCATTATAAGGCAGTTTTTGGAGCATTATGGTTAGCATTATACGAACTTTTTCGGAGCATTATCCGCTGGACCCTAGGTGGGATTGGGCTGCACACGTGGTGGCTAGGGGAGCGTACTCCAGGATGGGCCGAATGAACCCCTTATACACGGCAAGGCGGCCCTCAGGACCCAGAAGCCAAGCAGCACGGCGCAAGAATCCCAGGCGCTGGCTGGCCTTGACAGCGACAGCATGAATATGGCGCTGGAACCCAAGCTTAGAGTCGAATGTGACTCCAAGCAGCTTTAGGTGGTCCGAGTCCGGAATAATCTCGCCGGCAAAGGTGGTTGGTGGAAAGTCAGGGCGCTTTCGAGCATTGCACAAAATCAGGCGCTGGCTCTTGGTGGGCTCGAACTGGATCCGCCATTGCTGGCCCCATGCGGCAAGATTGCTGAGGGTTGTCTGTAAGGATGCTGCCTTCTCCTGGAGGTTGTCGTTTGGTCTGATCAGACTGTACACGGTAGTGTCATCGGCGAAAGAGCTGAGCTTTACTCCATGCGAGAGGCATTGGTCGATATCGGCAGCAAACAATATGAAGAGTGTGGGGCCCAGGACGCTGCCTTGGGGCACTCCGGCAGTGATGGGGTACTTCTTGGAAGCGTGGCCTCCAGTTACATACCACCTTTAGGCAGCTGTTACTCAGGTAGTCGCGTAGCCAAGAGAGAAGAGGTCCGCCGATGCCTGCTCGCTCTGCTTTGTTGAGGAGGCCGACGTGAGAGACGCGGTCAAACGCACCGGCAATATCAATTGCTACTACTGGGACACAGCCCCCCCCCCCCCCCCCCCCCTCAGCTACAACCTGCACCCATTCGCTCTGGAGTGCTGTGAGGAGGTCAGCTGTGCCACGGCCACGTCTAAAAGTGCATTCTTTGTTTGCCCCTGGATGTCTTCTTGTATCATCTTGATACTCAGTTCCCATAAACTTTGTAGTGTTTGTTCTGAACTGTTCTTCTTTATTTTATTTGTTTATGCTCTTCTTTTTCCAACTTCTGCCCATGGCGTCCCTCTCTCAGCTCGTCAGCTGACAACGGTTACTGTCACCATCGTGACACGATCTTGTAAAGAAGGTGCTCTCTGTACACGAGGTTGGTGATGTTCCCACGCGGCCACGGGTAGACCTTCACCACGTCGGAACACCCCGGCTACACGTTGGCTGTCCTCTTTCTACTTCTAGTGTAGCTGAGAAATTGGTTTGTTGTTGTTGCCACCGGTGCGCTGCATGGCCACAAATGCACTACTTTCCTGGCTGCACTGTACAGTACCGAGGCCTGTACAGTACGGAGGCCTGTACAGTACGGAGGCCTGTACAGTACGGAGGCCTGTACAGTACGGAGGCCTGTACAGTACGGAGGCCTGTACAGTACGGAGGCCTGTACAGTACGGAGGCCTGTACAGTACGGAGGCCTGTACAGTACGGAGGCCTGTACAGTACGGAGGCCTGTACAGTACGGAGGCCTGTACAGTACGGAGGCCTGTACAGTACGGAGGCCTGTACAGTACCGAGTACGGAGGCCGCGAGGGACATCAAAGTTGTTACAGTCGTTATTTACCCTGACGAAACCACTACTGTATTCTCCTTTCATTGGTTGAGGAATGGAAAGGGGAAAGAAGCTCATTCTTCTTTACTCTTACTTACTTTAGGAGTACATGTACTCTTTTGGTTTAACAGGAAAGGGTTCCCCCCCCCCCCCCACCCTGGAGCTAGCGCTTTTCCGCCGACTTGACTTGACACTTGACTGACTCGCAACTGCCATCCAGAGCACACGAAAAGTCCGTCGAACCTTCGACTCGGGAAAACCTGCAAGAAAGCACCACTCCCTGCTCAACACACAGTGTTTCGGTGGCGGGGTATTCACCCTCATCAGTTGAGCTTGAGTAGGCTAAAGTATAATTATTGTGCCTGAAGAGCACCACTTTAAAATGTATTATTGCTCTCCAGTACAACCATCACCAGGGATACAAACTTACAGACACACTTCGTTTCCAACACGACAAACACCTCGTGAACACCAGACAGCAGCGTGAGTCAGTGTCGCTCCTGGACGGTGAGAACAGATTTCGAGGAACCTCGGTCATTCACAACGCTGTCACCTCCAAACCAGCTAAGCGTAAGCTCGCGCTGGGCACAACAGTACGAATTAGTGGTAGCGCCTTCGGCGACGATTTATTAAGAAAGGGTTTGCTGAACTTTGTTCCCCCACACTGAAGCTCGCGCTTTTCCGCCGACTTGACTTGACACTTGAGTGACTTGACTGACTCATGACTGCCATCCAGAGCACATGAGAAGTCCATCGAACCTTCGACTCGGAAAACCTGCAAGAAAGCACCACTCCCTTCTCAATACACAGTGTTTCGGGGAATTCACCCTCATCAGTTGCCCGTCACTTGACGTCAGGAACGGAGCTGTGCTGTACGTTGGCAACCTAGGCGACCAATGCACCGGGGAACGCCTCAGCGAGTTTGTGCAACACAGAGTATCTGCGGTTGGGACATCTGCGGATGTGTATGCACGAATCAGCAACTTGCAAAATCTCAGCGAGACTGACAGTTGACGCTGCAACAGTTTCCATGATTACCGCTGCAAACTTCTGGCCCAGGCCACTTTATGCCAGACAATGGCGTTTCAAAGAAAGCAGTGGAGCACACCACGATAATTCCAACCCACCTGCCAAAACTGATGACATCACCAAGTCTGACCCTCCTCCTCAGAACAGTGATAGTCTCCCACCTGCCGACCCTCTCATGAACAATGACCAGTAAGACTTTGAAATTGCAGGTGACGAATGCCTTTGGCATCCGTTCAAAGTTTGGCGAATTTCAGCACACCCTTCTGGCATCTGAATTCTGATGCAGATATCGCTATAGTCACAGAAACCAAGCTGACCCTGGATAAGATGGCACAAGCCAAAGTGACTCTTCCTGGGTACTCCCCTCCAGTAAGACGAGACCGAACACCACAGGGTGGAGGCGTGGCTGTGTGGGTGAAATCCCACCTAGCTTTCCAAGAACTGGAGGCTGTTCCAACACTTGATCAAGAAGTCGTATGCCTTTCTATCCGCATAAGACCTGGTCGCAAAGTGGTCTTGTGTGCTACCTATCGCCCAGGGTCTCTTCCTGGCAATGATATCAGTATGGTAGAATACTTGGACCGGACCATTGACGTTGCCCGGGTGGATGCACAGCACCTCATCATCGCTGGCGATTTCAACGCGCACAGCACTGCCTGGCTGGGCAGCAGTAGAACGACTGCAACTGGGGGAAAAACTGGAGGACCTTTGCGCACTACATCACCTCCAGCAGCATGTGACGGAGCCAACTCGTGGAAATGCCCTCCTCGACCTCATCATGAGTGACCTGGGCAACCGGACGGTCCGGCTCGGCGGGCCCCCCAATTGGTAGATCTGACGACGCCACCATCTTGGCAGAATTCAAGACAGAACTATTTCGAGATCCCAAGACGGCCAGAACAGTCTGGCAATATGGCCGTGCTGACTGGGACAGACTAAACCACTACCTTAGGAGTGTGGACTGTGATACCCTCATGTCTGAGGGTGTAAACAGCAGCTGCACCAATATTGCCTCTGTCATCATAGATGGAATGAACCAGCCCCAATGTCAAGCTAACTATGCTCTCGCTGTCCACCGGTCTTCTGATTGCCTACATGATACCCAGAATCACCATCTAGCAATAGTCCGTGCACGACTCCAGACCGGCAGCCTCCGAGAAACACAGTGGTGATCAACCATCAAGCAGTCCATTGGAACCTCCCGAAGTAGCTCCATCCCGATTCTTGTCGACCCTGCTGGCAGAGAACATGCCACGAACATCGAGAAAGCAAACTGCCTCGGTCACTACTTCGCGGAGAAATGTAGCCTCGGTGCCAATGATCTGCCAGACACACCTCTGCCCCCTATTCGCCGACGCACAGGCAATAGGCTGAAGACCGTACACTTCCGCCCTGCCACAGCCCAGCGAGCTCTCAAGAACCTGGACGCGTCTAAAGCAACTGGCCCTGACGGCATTCCGGCGCAAGTACTCAGGAAGTCAGCGCAGTCACTGGCCAGCCCTCTGACAAAGCTATTCACCCAGTGCTTCCGGGACGGGGTGCAACCCGCATCCTGGAAGATTGCAAACGTTGTCCCTATTTTTTCAAGAAAGGCTCCAAGTCTTCCCCGAAGAACTGCCGTCCGATTTTCCTCCTCTCTATACTCCCTAAGGTGATGGAGGCCATCATCAATCGCAGCATCATTAACTTCCTGGAAAGCAATCAGGTCCTCTCCGGGCGGCAATTCGGGTTCCGACGCGGCCTGGGCACGACTGATCTCCTCCTCTCACTTCAGCATGAGTGGAGTCGGACGTCCAATGCTGGGGACGTGACCCGAGTCCTTGCTGTCGACGTGGCCGACGCATTTGACAAAGTGTCGCACCGTGGTGTAGTGCACAAGGCCAAATGCCTTGGGCTAACTGGCCACCGGCTCTCATGGTTGATAAACTACCTAGAGAGCCGCCAGATCCGGGCCGTAGTTGGTGAAGACTGAGACTCGCTGAGACTAAAGCCATACTTCCTCAATGGGCGACACGTTAGCCAGCTCGACGATCCCTTCTCACGCGCAACTTCAATACTGTTGCGTATATTGTGCACATTCACATGTCTGAAGGTTTGTGGTTTTCAATAAAATAAAATAAAATCATTTTCTTTTTTATCATTTTCATAGGTGTTGTTTCTTCTCACTCCATTTCTCTTTATTAGTATCTTTCTGGATTGTTTTTCATTAGTACAACCTAGCTTCCTGAGGAGTGTTGTGCGAAAACTAGTTCGAAGTACGATTTTTTGTTCATCATTTTCTCCATATCACATTTTTTCTTTCTTCCATGTTCTTCACTGCCTTCGTACCCACTCGTTTTTTGAATACAATAAAAGCCTTTGTGAAATGTCGGTTCAGCTCGTTCTGTTGATCGCAATTCTAAAATAAAATAAAATAATAGAAATAAAAAACGGAATCCACTGCCCGTCGTCGAGTGACGAGGGCCAGTACAGTAGTCACTGATATGATGTGACTGAACTGAGTCTCAGTCTTCATCAGGGAGTAGCATTTTACTACTCCCTGGTCTTCATGGTCTTTCTTTGGTTACTTGTACTTGCCGCGTGTTTCATAACATTTCAAGCCACCGGATTGCGCGGAAAGAGCAACTAAGTAGAAAAGCAAAAAGATCAACAACAACAAAAAAGAGCTGAATAAATAACTAAAGCAGAAGAGCGACTGTTTGCAACCACAAATGTCATCATGGCGCTCCAACATTTTGATCTGGAACTGGGAGAAAAGAAAACGGTGAGTCCTTTGTTGAACGATATTGGCGATGTGAATGAGCTCCTCCAACAAGTTGAGGAAGAGACTGAAACTTTTATTGCGGAGTCGCTCGCGAAGGAGATCTTGGACGAGCCGGATGAGCCTCGACCAAAGCAACGTGCAGGACCCGCACGATTTGCCGAGGTTTCCGATAAAGACCTGGGGAAAACCCGCAGGAACAGAACGCCCGATGCCCAGTCGACAATGTCAATGACCACCACGAGAAAAACAGCACTATGGACTACTTGTATTTGTAGTCTAGACTACCAGAAAACAATCACCATGATCACGAAACACGGCACATGTGCACCCGCGGTGAACAGGTCATGATGTATCGATGTATCTCTTTGCCGGCTTGGCACACGGGAAATCTGTTCCAGTCACTCAGTCATTACTAATACCGGTAAGTAATACAGTAGTACTCGGGGTTGTACTCGTGCATACATTTGTTAGATTGACAGCATGAAACAAGGAGGAGGACACTGTGTTCGAAAACAGTGACCTTAACGTTAGCTTACTACAACCTTCCGCGGTTGGCAGAGCCCCGGTCCCTGCGGACCATTTGAACCATATGGGTATCGCACCCGGTTCTGACCCTCGTTATGCTAGGCCTTCTCGCGACAGTGTCATGGTGATGACAAAAAACTGTTTACAGCTGACGAGCTGAGAGAAGGACGCCATGGGCAGAAGTTGGAAAGAAAAAGAAAAAGAAGTTTTTTATATAGCTATGAATCATGGAGGATGAAGGCCGCAGACATCACGCAACTACGTTACTTGTTTGACATGTATTTACTGTGTATTTTATAACAAAAATATTATTGAAAACCCAGAATCGATTTTCTTGTTCCTATCATCAGTTCCTATCATCACCCCCTGTGCCAGTGGTACAGACTGAGCCAACACAAAATGCGGTACCGTGTGAGTGAGAGGGCTAGGCTGCCCAAGTTACCAACTCCAGCAGCACCACCGTTGCCCTTGCCACCACCAGAACCGCCACCGGCTCTTCTTGTGGCGGGGCTGCAGTGGACCCACCTACACCCGCGCTGGCATCACCAACTCTCACACGAATTGCCACGGCACCCACATTAATCCAGAGACCTCGGAGGGCAACAGCAAACTACTCCACAGATATTTATGCCAGAAACGGCCAAGGACCGCGCGTTGTGGACAATACCAACAGAAGGAAGGTCGAGCAGGATCATGAGTCAGTGAGTGAAGCGGATCTGGAGGAACAACTCCGCTCACAGGACGAGCAGCTAGCAAATGGGAGACAAGTGGTCTGTACAGAAACGGAGGATGAGACAGGTGATCAGAGGATGGAAGAGCAATTGGATGACGAAACGGTTGGTGAGGAGACAGAGGACGAGGCAGATGATGGTAGTGATGATGATCGTGAGGATGACGAGCGGAACGAGGAAGAGGATGATGAGATGGACGAGGAGGAGTCGGGTGGGAAGGAGCGAGATGAGGCGGATGAATGTGTTGATCGTAAGAAGTCAGCTGTGTATCTACACTTGTTATCTCGTCCTGACTGTCTTAGTGTGTATGATGACTCTCATTTTTCTGTACTGTGTCGTGCGCGTTACATGTATGTCCAACAGTTGAAAGTCCTTGAGGCAGTTTGTATACGTATTCATAAGCCTGTTTTGTGTAAGCAGAAGGAGCACGTTGTTGCACTGAAGTTGTATTCGTAGGTTGACACTTCGTTTAGCGCCTTCTCGCCTTTGGTTACTTAATCTTGTTACCTTTTTTGCGTTTCCTCTAGTGGTTTTATTGCACTTGTATCTTGTTGTTATTTCTAACACCTTTCTATTTACAGTACTTAACTTCAGTTTCTTTGGTTGTATCCTTAATTCCGTATTTTTCCCACTGATGATAGGAACAAGAAAATCGATTATGGGTTTTCAATAATATTTTTGTTATAAAATACACAGTAAATACATGTCAAACAAGTAACGTAGTTGCGTGATGTCTGCGGCCTTCATCCCATTCATAGCTATATTAAAATTATTATCTCCACGTAGATTATTTGTAAGTTTTTTATACAAGTTAAAAAAGAGCGAAGACAACAAGACGACATCAGGACAGGAGTAGTCTCCTAACCCCCTAGCATAACGAGGGTCAGAACCAGGTGCGATACCCATAATTATGGTTCAAATGGTCCGCAGGGACCGGGGCTCTGCCAACCGCGGAAGGTTGTAGTAAGGTCACTGTTTTCGAACACAGTGTCCTCCTCCTTGTTTCATGCTGTCAATCTAACAATTGCGTGAACTACAACAAGGTTTATTTGTAATACTGGTTTACCAGTTTTGGATTATAATTATTATTATCATATCGTGCATACATGTATGTACATTGTATAATATGCGGGAGTCAAGACAGCATGCATCTTATGCATGAAGTCTTGAAGATCTACACGTAGTGACCATGCCCATGGTGACGTAGCTACAGTCATGTAGCATTACGTACATGACTGTACCATGGTCCATGTACATGTACCAGTGTACAGCTGTAGTGTGTGAGACTGTGAGTGCCGGGGCAGTGGTGATATGAGTGGAACTCGTAGGTCTACAAAGTACAAGACAAACAACGATACAAAAGTAACACTGCCGTGCCTGCACCATGTCCACCACTTGCACTGCCAATCACCGGGTGCACCGACCCGTGGTCGCGGGTACCTGTACTGTACTCTGTAGGCTGTATCTGCATGATCTACCGTGTACGAGATCTACGCAGTGCAGATACAGTCGACTAGTGATCTCTCACAGACTCCTTACCACTACCAGCACGTTTTTAGTGCGAGCGAATGATTATGTTGGGTAGTGTTGATTACACTTTTCAGACATGCACAAGGTGATTTTGTCCCGTCTGCTTAGTGCACTGGTAGTGGTATACTTGTAGCGGTGCGGCGGCGGTATGGCATTGCAGAAAATACAAACCGGAGAAAGAAAGCCTGGAATCCAAGGCTGCGCCGCTTCTTGTGCTACCGGACAGAAAGCAGCTTCAATGGAGCGCTTGGTCCGTTTGCGTTCTTTGGAAATTCTACTGCTAGTGCTCGTCGCTGCTACACCGATCCTGTACTCGCGTGCACAGGCCGCTGCCGAAGACGGTAAGTACAGCGCAACCTCTTGATTCAATGTTCAGCTTGAGCACTGCACTAGCGGAGAGAATATCTTCTGCCAGATGTCTCATTTCTTTTCGAGCTGCTAGGAGCAATAATTAAAATACAGAATAAAAAATATACAGGTACCGGTATTGCAGGAAGTAGTGACAGCTAAGAGGAACACGACAGGCAAGCCTCTGGCTCTGGTCAAAAACCAACACGCGTGCACGGTCTTGGCTCTAAAATTAAATTAAAATTAAGCTTTTGTCGTCTTAGCTATTGCGTTTGCTGCTTAGCGGTAAACCTCGATAACATCATTTTGTAGAATAGAATTGATATTGCAGCATTATGTTATTTCCAATTTGGACTTCACGGAGAATTTCAAAGTATTAGGAAATTAGAGGCCACATACCTCGTGCTGCTCTCTTCTCTCCGAAACTCAACACTAGCAAGCCAGATACGAAAGAAAGAAAAAATCCTCATTCACACCATCAGGACTTTTGTGTAGTTCTAAAAAAAATTTTAATCCCGGTTCGCGTGAGACTGGGTCGGAGGCCGAGTTTTGCGCATCCGCAGGAACGCCACCACCCTGTATGGATCAAGGCAGGAACGCCACCACCCTGTATGGATCAAGGCAGGAACGCCACCACCTTCTAGGATCAAGGCAGGAACGCCACCACCCTCTAGGATCAAGGCACAGATGTAGCTCCTAAAGCGATGGGAGGTGAATAGATCAGACCCATCACAAAGTGGTCAAAGACCGAAAATCCCATTTAGTAGTTCCATGACAAGCAGTATTAGTGCCAGTACTGACTCAGGTTCTGGCAACTGAGCGGCTCAGCTACTGTATGAGTGCTTGCTACACAGCCGGTTCAGCCACTACGCTCTTCGGGCTACGATGTGAGATGCACTTTCGTAAAGTAGGGGTGAAAGTGCATAGGGTCAGTGTGTACAGGCCAGCAGATCTTGCAAAAATGGGGTGGGCGTTTGCTGTGGACTTTACGGTGCCCGATGCCCAGTCGACAATGTCACGAGAAAAAGCACTATGGACTACTAGACTACCAGAAAACAATCACGAAACACAGCACATGTCACATGTGCACCCGGTGAAGGTATTTGTTACTGTTCATGTACATGTGTACGTCCGGCCGCACTCGTACGATTTTCAGGGGTCCAGAGCCATTCACGTTGAGGGCGCTAGATATTATTATTATTATTATTATTATTTAAATAGGCGTCGAGGCGACAATAGTTTTAGAATTGCGATCAACAGAACGAGCTGAACCGACATTTCACAAAGGCTTTTATTGTTTTCAAAAAACGAGTGGATACGAAGGCAGTGAAGAACGTGGAAGAAAGAAAAAATGTGATATGGAAAAAAATGATGAACAAAAAATTTGTACTTCGAACTAGTTTTCGCACAACACTCCTCAGGAAGCTACGTTGTACTAATGAAAAACAATCCAGAAAGATACTAATAAAGAGAAATGGAGTGAGAAGAAACAACACCTATGAAAATGATAATCCTAGCACTAAGGTAATAACAGGAAAAACTGCGAAAGCAATTAACAAACTTGTAAGGACTACTAGTATACTGTGACACAAGATATGACACCATGGCCAACCAGAGCCAAACCGACAGAACAAGCTGCCACTAAAACAATTTCAAACGAATAATGCTGTCCTTCTGGACACACAGATCAGGCTTATGAATACGTTGACACACATGGTTATAAGTTGCAGTTGAGTGTGTTAGAAGCTGTGTGTCAACGTATTCATAAGCCTGATCTGTGTGTCCAGAAGGACAGCATTATTCGTTTGAAATTGTTTTAGTGGCAGCTTGTTCTGTCGGTTTGGCTCTGGTTGGCCATGGTGTCATATCTTGTGTCACAGTATACTAGTAGTCCTTACAAGTTCGTTAATTGCTTTCGCAGTTTTTCCTGTTATTACCTTAGTGCTAGGATTATCATTTTCATAGGTGTTGTTTCTTCTCACTCCATTTCTCTTTATTAGTATCTTTCTGGATTGTTTTTCATTAGTACAACGTAGCTTCCTGAGGAGTGTTGTGCGAAAACTAGTTCGAAGTACAAATTTTTTGTTCATCATTTTTTTCCATATCACATTTTTTCTTTCTTCCACGTTCTTCACTGCCTTCGTATCCACTCGTTTTTTGAAAACAATAAAAGCCTTTGTGAAATGTCAGTTCAGCTCGTTCTGTTGATCGCAATTCTAAAATTATTATTATTATTATTATTATTATTATTCAAAGGATCAATCGGGGAAGTGAACTGCCTGAAAAGAGAAAAAAACGCCAGACCCACCAGGACTCGAACCTGGGACCCTGCTTTTCTTCTCATGAACAATGCTCATGAACAATGCTCGAGTCCTGGTGGGTCTGGCGTTTTTTTCTCTTTTCAGGCAGTTCACTTCCCCGATTGATCCTTTGAATTTGAAGTTCTCCCAATCCTTTCCAAATTATTATTATTATTATTATTTATGACTTGGGGCTCCCCGCGTGCTAGTTTGTACGTGAAGTGTGTGGGTTACAGTGAGGGCTGCGTCCCACCCGCCTGTGTGGATTCACAGGAAGTGTGAGTTACGAAGTCTGAAGAAAATGTTGAACGGCCTCTGCTGGGATGACGACTACACCATAGCTCAGTGGTTAGAGCATCGCTGGCTACAAGCGAGGGTCCCTGGTTCGAGTCCTGGTGGTGACAGTCAATTTTTTCTTCAGACTTTTCCCGTTTGTCTCTTTCCCTCAAACCAGTTAATATTTTATGACTTGGGGCTCCCCGCGTGCTAGTTTGTACATGAAGTGTGTGGGTTACAGTGAGGGCTGCGTCCCACCCGCCTGTGTGGATTCACAGGAAGTGTGAGTTACGAAGTCTGAAGAAAATGTTGAACGGCCTCTGCTGGGATGACGACTACACCATAGCTCAGTGGTTAGAGCATCGCTGGCTACAAGCGAGGGTCCCTGGTTTGAGTCCTGGTGGTGACAGTCAATTTTTTCTTCAGACTTTTCCCATTTGTCTCTTTCCCTCAAACCAGTTAATATTTTATGACTTGGGGCTCCCCGCGTGCTAGTTTGTACGTGAAGTGTGTGGGTTACAGTGAGGGCTGCGTCCCACCCGCCTGTGTGGATTCACAGGAAGTGTGGGTTACGAAGTCTGAAGAAAATGTTGAACGGCCTCTGCTGGGATGATGACTACACCATAGCTCAGTGGTTAGAGCATCGCTGGCTACAAGCGAGGGTCCCTGGTTCGAGTCCTGGTGGTGACAGTCAATTTTTTCTTCAGACTTTTCCCGTTTGTCTCTTTCCCTCAAACCAGTTAATATTTTATGACTTGGGGCTCCCCGCGTGCTAGTTTGTACGTGAAGTGTGTGGGTTACAGTGAGGGCTGCGTCCCACCCGCCTGTGTGGATTCACAGGAAGTGTGAGTTACGAAGTCTGAAGAAAATGTTGAACGGCCTCTGCTGGGATGACGACTACACCATAGCTCAGTGGTTAGAGCATCGCTGGCTACAAGCGAGGGTCCCTGGTTCGAGTCCTGGTGGTGACAGTCAATTTTTTCTTCAGACTTTTCCCGTTTGTCTCTTTCCCTCAAACCAGGTAATATTTTTTGGCTTGGGGCTCCCCGCGTGCTAGTTTGTACGTGAAATGTGTGGGTTACAGTGAGGGCTGCGTCCCACCCGCCTGTGTGGATTCACAGGAAGTGTGGGTTACGAAGTCTGAAGAAAATATTGAACGGCCTCTGCTGGGATGACGACTACACCATAGCTCAGTGGTTAGAGCATCGCTGGCTACAAGCGAGGGTCCCTGGTTCGAGTCCTGGTGGTGACAGTCAATTTTTTCTTCAGACTTTTCCCGTTTGTCTCTTTCCCTCAAACCAGTTAATATTTTATGACTTGGGGCTCCCCGCGTGCTAGTTTGTACGTGAAGTGTGTGGGTTACAGTGAGGGCTGCGTCCCACCCGCCTGTGTGGATTCACAGGAAGTGTGAGTTACGAAGTCTGAAGAAAATGTTGAGCGGCCTCTGCTGGGATGACGACTACACCATAGCTCAGTGGTTAGAGCATCGCTGGCTACAAGCGAGGGTCCCTGGTTCGAGTCCTGGTGGTGACAGTCAATTTTTTCTTCAGACTTTTCCCGTTTGTCTCTTTCCCTCAAACCAGTTAATATTATTATTATTATTATTATTATTATTATTATACGCATTCCCGCGTTGAAGTGTAGCAGCAGTATGCTGCGTCCACAGCTTCGCTTATGCAGAATGGCTTGGGTGAGAGGAGAGGGGAGAGAAAGCAACAAGGCAACTAACATCTATGAAATAGGTCACAATAACATGAAGAGAACCAACCTACATATGCATGATTGCACAAGAATGGAGATGACAAATGGCTATAATCACTGTGCCACAAAACCGGTACACAGGAGATCTGTCGACAATGTAACGAAACATAAAACTCAGTCACTCAATACAGGTTCCACTAAATTACAAGAGAACAACGCTACAACATTACACACACCCTCTACACTTGCGCTAGATATAGCATAATTATTTAGTCGGATTTCACCAAGCGCAACTGTACATGTACTGTCAGTCTGAAAAATTTCTGCCCATTCAAATTTCGGCCTCCCAGGGCTAAAACCCATCTTGGCTGCATCAAATTTTCGGCCTGTACTGTGACCACCTACTTTTCCTGAAGATGTGCCTTGCCCGAAAATTCGAATGATTCGTATCTCTTTTTCTTTTAGTGATTGGTGTAGCCCAGAGACCGTTTGGAGAGTGTTGTCAAGATGTATGGATACCTACTTTTAGCGACCGTTTTTCCATGCACGGACCGTTCTACACAGAAACTGCACCGGATATAGAGACCACGTGCCTTGCGCGACCAGCGACCGAATTCTAGTGGGGTGGTCGCTTAAACCAGGTTTTAGTGTATGTGCAAAACAGTCAGACGACTGGTACATGGTGTTGCACTGGTTGAAGTGACTACATGGAAAGATCGATCCTCGGGTATACATTTTGCCTTGATTGCCATCAAGAGAAAGTGCAAAAATGGTGTGCCTTGTAAAGCACAATACATGTACATCAGTATGTCTATTGAATGTGTGCATCAGTATGTCTATTGAATGTGCATCAGTATGTCTATTGAATGTGTGCATCAGTATGTCTATTGAATGTGTGCATCAGTATGTCTATTGAATGTGTGCATCAATTTGTCTATTGAATGTGCATCAGTATGTCTATTGAATGTGTGCATCTGACAATGAGCATGTCGTGTAGCCCTGCCCAGCAAGTACTCTTAAGTCTAAACTACGGACAACTCGAGGGCCCTGTTGGCATGGTATTGGATAGTTGTGGTGCTAGTAAGACAAGTGCACTCCCGCCACTCCACTGTAGTTCAGAAATTGAAGAATGGCACATGCAGCCGTGCCATGCAAGGATATATGTCAGTCATGCGTCGTATGCCATCCACTGGCAGTGTGTAGTTGCACTGTGCTCAGCTGTGCTGTGTAAGAAAAAGGAGCAGGAAATCTGCACTTTCTCTCATCCGGATATTGCCGGGTTTGAGTGACAATGTATGCTCAATGGACTGCCTTGCAACCAGTATAACACATGCGTACAGCACAGCTTGGGCCCACATGTCTCACTGTCTACACCCAGGTGTTAAGGCAGGCTGTGGCCATCCGCCCGCCGCCAAGGGGCAACACTCTGCCTATTCCCATGTAGCGCTGTATTCCACAATTCCATCTGCTCAAACTGGCAGGCTGCATTCCGTTCTCCAGGACTTCACCAAGAAACAAAATTTATACTTCTAAGCGCAAAGGCACGTTTTTGGGCAGAACTAGATTTGATTCCCCCGTCCCTGAGCAGCCAAACAACTGCCTTATTCCCTTTTCTGTTTCTGTAGCAAGCAAGTGGAGTTGTGACGACGAAAGTCTGAACAAGCTTGCACTGCAAAGTCTCCACGAGAAATTGGACGACGATCATGATGGAGAAGTTGAGCTGAATGAGACATCAGAGGTGAGTATTTGGTGGTCAGCAAACTTTATGATGTGTAGTCTTTGGTAGATGCTCTACGCTAGTGTGTGTGTGTGTGTGTGTGTGTGTGTGTGTGTGTGTGTGTGTGTGTGTGTGTGTGTGTGTGTGTGTGTGTGTGTGTGTGTGTGTGTGTGTGTGTGTGTGTGTGTGTGTGTGTGTGTGTGTGTGTGTGTGTGTGTGTGTGTGTGTGTGTGTGTGTGTGTGTGTGTGTGTGTGTGTGTGTGTGTGTGTGTGTGTGTGTGTGTGTGTGTGTGTGTGTGTGTGTGTGTGTGTGTGTGTGTGTGTGTGTGTGTGTGTGTGTGTGTGTGTGTGTGTGTGTGTGTGTGTGTGTGTGTGTGTGTGTGTGTGTGTGTGTGTGTGTGTGTGTGTGTGTGTGTGTGTGTGTGTGTGTGTGTGTGTGTGTGTGTGTGTGTGTGTTACGGTGTACTTATTGTAATGAAGGAGTTCAGTGCAGCCTATCTAGTGCAGTCAAGCCACAGTAGTGATGGGAGATACATGTATGAACTGAAGAGTCCCTTGACCAACCAACATTCCTCCGTCCTGGCTTCAAATACTCAATACACCAGGGGGTAATGATTTTAGAAGAAGCTAGTGACGGTATACAGGTTATGCCATCACTTCATTATAGTGTGTTTCAAAAGTAGAGACCACTAGACTTTTTCGAATAATTCAAATTTGGTTGGAGATTTTTGAGAAATGTCTTAGGAATATTGCTTAGGCAGCTCCCGCATTTTTTCTTATATAAATTTCTAAGCGATTGGATAACAAACGCCCAATTTCGGAAATGTCATGCACAAAGCGATCACAGATTTTATGTGGTATAGATGCTGGCCTAACGTTTTTTTGAAACCAGAGGTCTGGACTTTTGAAATGCACTGATGATAGTTGAGATTCTTCGGCGAAGTCACGGACTCGCGGCGCAGCGCTGCACTTGCACTCGCGACTCACGATGAGTACCATTAAAACACTGCTGACCTTCACACTCGTAAACTTGTGTCCATTTGAAAATCTTGATGAAATCATTTGCATAACCTCTATGCGAGCATATCTGTGGTGTGAGACGACAGGAGAGTGAAGGATAATGGGGAGATCCCCCCCCCCCCACCCGAAAAGAAAATAAGACTAAAACGGAGCTGGAGTCCTCCTGTCGTCTCACACCACAGATATGCTCGCATAGAAGTTATGCAAATGATTTCATCAAGATTTTCAAATGGACACAAGTTGCTGATTGTGGCAGGTCGGTGATGACTCAATTACTGCCTGTGGGGCATGCACTTTAAGTAGTATCAGATTGCAGCTGTAGAGTGATGACTGACAGAATGCCTCCCCTCTCTTGTATCGCCAGATGCTCTCAACCTTACTTGTCGCTTCTTTAGTTAGATCATGAGGATAGAGGGACTCGCAGTGCCACATTCAGAAAATTAAAAATGATTCCATTATAACATTCCATGCGTAATAATGTACATTAACCCTTTCAGCCCTAACATTAACCCTTTCAGCCCTACCTACGCTGGAACACGGAAATTAGTACAGTAGGATGGCCTGCCAGCCCGAGTATATTCGGGCTCAGCGCCCTGACGTCATTCTGAATCCCGATTATATTCGGGCTCAGCAGTCAATGGGTTAAAAATCTGTCAAGGCGACCACTGTGATAAGGCGACCATCTGTCCAAGAGGCCCGGACCACTACAACCAGGATCAAGGGATGTCATTTCCAGTGAAATGACCCTTTATAAGGAAGGAGACCACCTGTACACGGGACCACATTTGTAAGGTCCCTTGAGCGGTCGCCTTAGACAGGTTTCACGGTTGTCCATTTCCCCAAACTAGGAAATGCGTACACCAAGATGGGCTTTGTCCGAGATGTTGCGGTGTCTGTTTGATTCTTGTCCTTAGTTCGTCCTGCACGAGTTTTCCGGGACTCCTCATAATGGTCGCTACAAGAAATTTCACGCAAATGATTCCAACATCGACCTGGCTGAAATGACAACACGCTGGACAGATGTAAACCCAGGTAAGCAATGGCAACAGTAAAAGAGGGACTGGTGACATTTGACCTCACATTACCTTTGAAGACCTTTCTGCACCTTGCTCAATTTCACATTGGCAGTGGGAAAACCAAGCTATGAATTCTACACATCTCCTGTCAAGTATTGCCAAGATTCCTCTTTTGCCATCTCCTGTAGAGGAACATGGTAACGGAATACATGTGCCTGTGTATGCATGTGCTTTCCTGCAGCTTATAATTGGAGCACCGCAGAGGTGGTCTACTGGCTGGAGGAGGCTGTGCGGCTACCAGCCTACTCGGCCACCTTTGTGCAGTACAAAATTGTAGGGAAATGTCTGCCAAGGTTAGTGGCGTGCTCTGCAGGGACCACAGGGAAAAGTTGTCATGACATGTGACTGATAAGTTAATTCTGAACCGAAAGCACTTTTGCAGAGCGATTTCTTGGATCCTACCCGCAGGACCTCATCCAAGCCATCATTAACCGTAATATTCCAGTTTCCTGATCAGCTGACAATTATAACCATTTCAGCACTAATTATCATCCATTCACACCGTACAACACGCAATAGACTTATGCAATCAGTGCTTCATGCAAATGGGGGGGGGGGGGGCGACTTAGAAGTGGCAGATGTGAAAACTTGACGTCATTAGTGTTTTCGATTGTGATGCCTTCATGGATGTAAAATGAAGTATGCATGTTTGTGATTTGTTGTTCCTTCTCAGAATTGCTCTCAACAAAGAGAAGTTCTTGCAGGAAGTGTTGGGGGTCTTCAATCGTGAAGAACGCAGCAGGCTGAAGCTGAAAGCGATGGAGGTGGTCCTCTTTGGTCCAAGTACGTACATTGGACTTTGAGCTTAGGAACTTCGGTGTTTGAAATGTTCATTGGGTTAACACGAAACGCACTTTTCTATCTCCACCCCAAAAATTGGACAATATGCCAGTGTACATGTAGTAGTGGCTAGAGAAGAGTGCAAGTGACACGCTGGCAACTGTCAATTCAATAGTCGGTTGGCCGGACATCCCATTTAATTCCAGGTATACTGTAGAATCCCGCTGATAAGCCCATGGGCTTATCTGTTTCATAAGGACATTTCGGTGGGCTTATACAAGAACATGGACTTATACGCGGGCATGAGCTTATACGCCGACACCAAAATTGTTCAAAATTGTGCGTGAAAAGTACACACATGTGTGTATGAAAAGTACCGAGGAAGTGAGAAGTACATTGCTGAAAACCACTGTGCAAACAAAAACATCCGATGATTGTGTTGAAATGTACAAAAACACGTACATGGTATGACCTAGGCCGCCTATGGGCTTGTACAATGAAGCTTCGCGATGTTCAAACTTGCCCTGGGTGTATGCGCGGGTGGGCTTGTCCACGGGATTCTACGATATTTTATATACATGTGTGATGTCTACAACATGCACTGACTGCTGGAAGTTAGTTCGAACTAAATCACACGCAGTCAGAAAATGGTGCTGTGACCCTTCACAATCATGGTGCTAGAGATCAGGCAGTTGTACATGCCTGAAATTAGGAAATCTTCAGTCAGTAGATTGGATTCCAGAAGCAAAAGATGTTTTCAGTGTTGCCCAAGTTTTCACAGTGTTTCTCAGCTCCTCAATGCGTTGCTTGTGCCTTCTGCCTCCTGCTCTGTTTTTTGTAGTATTCCCGTCACATTTCTGGTACCATGTTGGCTTGGCGTTGACCTCAATCATGGCCATTGTGCTGGGGTTCTATGTGCTACTCGCACGTAAGAGAAACAATGAAATGGCGCGCATGCTGGAAGAAACGCGAATTCACCTGCAGGAGGCCCAGACCATCAAGGACGCGTAAGTTTCCAAATAGCAAACACGCAACTCAGTAACATTTTACGGTGATTCTGTGGGTGGTGACATATTGTATTTGATTCTGGTGCAGCTCTACAGCTCAGTAGTGGAAGGACAGATCCCGGCTCTGTGCTTTTGGCCTGCTTACAATACATGCATGCTTCTTTCAATGCTGGAAGAAGGGGGAAAGATGTGTGAAAAGGTCCCAACACGCATACAGTCAGACCTCGTTTAACCGCACATATCCGTTTTCCACAAAATATCCGGATAGGCGAGGGAACTGGATAATCGAACACACATGCTGTATGTATGCATGACTTAGGTATGCTGTAAATCGGTAACCAATGATTTTCTTCCAGATGGCAGGGGATCCGGATAAAAGAGGACCGGATAAGCAAGGTCTGAGACACTATCTGCCTGAAACTAGGGTCGCACTGCACCTGCCACCGCTGTATTTAAGCCGAACATGATCTATACATGTGCTGGTCGATTATGGTCGGGAAAACTGTGAACAGGACTCTTTCAGTCATTTTGTTTCTTGCTTCTGTGTTAGGGGTCGGTATCGACATTCAAAAACGTCAATTTCTTGTAGTGAGAGCAGTGAAAGTGAGCTTCTTGTCAAGATCACGTGTGTGTGTGTGTGTGTGTGTGTGTGTGTGTGTGTGTGTGTGTGTGTGTGTGTGTGTGTGTGTGTGTGTGTGTGTGTGTGTGTGTGTGTGTGTGTGTGTATAGCTATGGATATATCATGATGGTTGAAATGAGTTGTGACATCATGAACATAGCAGAGTCGTTCAGCCATGTTCACTGTATAGCTCAGTGTATAGCCTCTCAGTGTGTCTAGTGCAAGTGCTGCACACTCTAGCAGATTGCATTTCTTTTTGCCACCATTGTACATGCAGCTGCACTGAGAGCACATGGTTTTATCAATTCTTCGACGAGGCATTCTTAGCCTGTTCACGTATTGCAGAAACACACAGCATCGGATGCTGGACGTGGGAATAGGTGGTGGGAGGTGGTATGGAAATATGGGCTGGTCGGGTCTGTGAAGCGAAGCCAGCGTCGTAATGGCTGCGCACATGCCTATCTGAGATATACACGAAAGCCGGGAGTTGGCAGTTTGATCAGCTGCAATCCAGTTGAGAATCCTTTGTAGGTCCCATTGCCTTTCCTAGCTCCATCTCAGTGGCCGGTCCCATAGCCTTTCCTAGCTCCATCTCCAGTGGCCTTTCTGTGGGATCTGGGGCAGTGTGATCTAGCCATGCAATGTTGAATGTCGGTCATTTGGTATTTTAGTTCATCGAGCAACCCGGCAACAGCGGCAAGCCATGCATACATCTACTTCCTCCGACAAGAAAACTTGGTGTGTTTTTCTTTCTTCAATGACACTTGAACTAACTTAGGGGCCGTCCGTAAATATCGATGTTTTTTTAGAGACGATATTGGTGCGTCTGGGGGGGGAGGGGGTTTGAGCCATGTGCGTCTTTTCGAGCATCAGAAAAATATCGATGTAAATATCTGAAGTTTCCTGCACGCGGACGTCTAAATGGCTATACAAGAAATGTGAAACCAGCTTCCGTGCGCGGAGCAAAAACTCACGACACAAGAACAAAATCAAAAATTGGAAGCTGTACGCCCATGGCGAATTTCAAGAGCAAAAGAATGAGCTATTGATTGTGGAAATCGGCCGAACGATGCCTGCAGGAGACCTTTTTCAAGACGTAGAGGCAGTGCGAACAAACACGGGCGAACTCCACAAGAGTTTCCAGTCATAATGCTCTCCTTCTCAATTAGACCATATTTTTAGAGATCCTACTCTGGTTCTGCCCGTACTAGTAGTAGTAGAATCCTAAAGGACGTTTTGGCTCTTCGTTGAGCTCATTTTAGTTATTACACACAGACACTCAGTGTCTTTCCACTCGGAAACAATTCTCCTCATACTTCAGTAAGAATCATTATCATTAGTATCAGAGATACTCAAACTCGTGACTGTCCTCCAAGTAGTTATGATGAGGAAGCGTCTACATCATGACGGCTGGGGTAGATATTCCCACCAGCCGTATGCGACGCAGAAAATGCTAGTGTCAGGATAAGGACATCGTGGAGGCGAATAGAGACATACCGTAGAAGTCTCCGGTAAACGAAAGCAATACGACGGGAAAAGAAGAAGACTGTATAACCATAAACGGGACAAGTCATGGCAGTAAGTATAGAACTAGACTGAAACGAATGGGAACATAACAGGGTTGACTTGACATAGAACGTACATATAACAATAAATCGTAATGTTGTCCGACGGTAACACACAGTAGCAATGAATACTAGAAATGCATCGAAAGTGCAGCTGTCCAATCAGAGACGTGTGTGAAGACGCATGCAAATATCTAACACTCCCTCCGTTGAGGTACAATATCTAACACTCCCTCCGTTGAGGTACATAAGGCTGAACGAATGCATGTATTGTAGCTCAACAACGAATACTTATGATATTGCAATCAGAGGTGTAGGATCTTCTTGAGACAACGCTTAACGCATCTCACCATTCTCTCAAAGAACCCGCCCCACCAGGGGGGCTTCTCAAGCAGATGGGGCTTCTCCAGTAGATGGGGTCCCGCGTTGAGGCAGACGTTGATCGACGGGCCCTTGCCTGAGCGGAATGACGCATCGTACACAACACGCACTCTTGTCGTGGTCCTATCTTCTCCACCAACGGCTTGATGTGGCACATAGTGTATATCTCTCACATCACCAAATTCCGGGTTCTTGTCTTCCTCGATATTGCTGATTCGGAAGTTGTCGGGTAGCGTTGCATGGCGGACTTGATTCTCCGTTATTGGATGTATCCCAAGAGACTCCAGCTCCCAGGATTGTTGAAGCTGCTGATCAAGGACCTGCGCTGTCGTCGTTAAGCTGTGCACCTCAGTAGCGAGGCATGTACCTGTCGTACTAGTTGTTGGGCCTGATGCAGGACCGGACAAGACCCAGCCAAGACGCGTACGGATGGCTGTCGGACCAGAGGCCGTCGTGATCACCTTGCCCATCATAAATTGCCAGTACTGGTCGGCTCCAATCAATAGATCGATTGTGGCTGTGCCGTCGCAGTCGTCTGCCAGTGTGAGGCCTTGTAGCGCACCGCAGCACTGGACTGCTTGTGCAGGGTGCTGGTTCTGGACTGGTGCACAAATTGATTCAATCACAATACACTCCAGCTGCAGGGGGTCTCCCTCCGTACTCTGTACGGTCAGATTCACCACGTCTCTTAAACCGCTGTCCCCAACAGAGCAATCACCGAAGGCATTGACATTCAAGCCTTCCTGCCTGTCTGTCTTTAGGTCCAGCCGCCTTTGCACATCACGTGTCACGAATGAGCGCTGGCTCCCTCCGTCGAACAACAACCTCACAGGGATCCCGTTGTCTCGGACTGGTAAGCCTGGTGCAACTATAGCTTTAGCGGTCTGCAGCAAAACCATATTGTTGTCTTTGCTAGATGACGTCAGAGCACTGACAGACGACAGGGTAACGCTGCTGGCGGATGGATTGGTAGGTTCCTTCTTGCTTGGAGCTGATGCTGCCCTAGACTGGTTGTTAGCGGCCGGCTTCTTTTCATAGCGCGACGTGGGTGGTGTCACAGGTGATGGCCTGTCAGATGTTGAGTCACACAGGGTAGTGTGGTGTCGACGTTGGCACTTGGCGCATTTCAACTTCGACTGACAGTGACGGATTATGTGGTTCGGTTTCAGACACAGAAAGCACCTTCCGTTGCTCTTAACTATGTCCTTCCGCTTCTCTGTGTTTGTAACGACAGAGCACCTGGCCGTCTCATGACTCTGTCCACAGAACACGCAACTGGCACTTGCCGGGGACGTAAAGGCTGCTAATGCTGCTGCTGTTGGCTGTTCTCTGTAGGTCTGTTTGTTGCGTGTACCGGTCCCCTCAGGCTGTGTGGTGATGCCTATGAGTGTCTCCTGTGCTGTTGTTCTGTAGTCCGCTTCTCTTAATGCCCAGGCCAGCAGAGTGCATACCGTCTCCGCTTCACCTCTTTCTGTCATCTGGCGGTAGTACTGCGTCAAGAGAGACTGTGGCAGTTTCTTCAGGAGCTGCTGATAGAATGCACCAGCCTGAAGTTCCTGGCTGCGTCCGGCGTCTTCTAGGTGAATGACAGCTACTTGGAGAAGATCAGCGAACTTCTCCAGATCCTGGGCAGCTCGTTCCATTCGTATCACTGGTAGCCGCGCCAGCGCCTCTGTATGCACTGCTGTCTGTCTTCTATCGCCACCAAACTTCTGTTCTAGACGCCTGATTGCTGCGGTGTACGCTGCTGCTGAGTATCCATAAGATTCTATCGCTTTCAATGCTGAGCTCGTCAAACACTGACGTAGTTGCAATAATTTCAGCTCTGGCGATAAATCTTGCTGCTCAACGCAAACCGAGAATGCTGCTTTCCATGTTCTGTATGCTGTTTTATCACCACTAAACGTAGGTATCTTCACTTTCTTCAGGTGTCGGTACACGTCTGTTGGTGCTGCTGTTGACGATGTTGAGCTGGCTGTCATTCCAGACCAACTGGTCTGCGCGGGTTGCTGCTGCTGGTATTGTTGCTGTTGACGCTGCTGCTGCTGCTGCTGTTGTTGTTGTTGTTGTTGTTGCCGCTGCTGCTGTTGCTGCTGTTGCTGTTGCTGTAGTTGTTGCCGCTGCTGCTGCTGTTGTTGTAGCCCAGACAACGGCTGTGGCCTGGGCCTCGGTAGCGGCGTGGAAAACCGCTGCGGCGGTAGCATGCGTGATAACGGCTGCGGCATAGACGACAGCTGCAACGTAGACAAAGGCTGCGACGACTTCGGCACATAGACCGACTGGGACGCGTACAACGGCGGCAACGAGTGCTGCGACACAGGCAACGGCAAAGACTGATCTGCCGACAATGGCGGCAACGACTGCTGGGACACGGGCAGCGACTGCTGCGACACCGGCAACGGCAAAGACTGATCTGCCGACAATGGCGGCAACAACTGCTGCGACACGGGCAGCGACTGCTGCGATACAGGCAGCGACTGCTGCAACACGGGCAGCGCCTGCTGCGACACGGGCAGCGACTGCTGCGACACAGGCAACGACAAGGACTGATCTGCATACAACGGCGGCAACGACTGCTGCGACACGGGCAGCGACTGCTGCGACACGGGCAGCGACTGCTGCGATACAGGCAGCGACTGCTGCAACACGGGCAGCGTCTGCTGCGACACGGGCAGCGACTGCTGCGATACAGGCAGCGACTGCTGCAACACGGGCAGCGTCTGCTGCGACACGGGCAGCGACTGCTGCGATACGGGCAGCGACTGCTGCGATACAGGCAGCGACTGCTGCAACACGGGCAGCGCCTGCTGCGACACGGGCAGCGGCTGCTGCGACACAAGCAACGGCAAGGACTGATCTGGATACAACGGCGGCAACGACTGCTGCGACACGGGCAGCGACTGCTGCGATACAGGCAGCGACTGCTGCAACACGGGCAGCGTCTGCTGCGACACGGGCAGCGACTGCTGCGACACAAGCAACGGCAAAGACTGATCTGCCGGCAATGGCGGCAACGACTGCTGCGACACGGGCAGCGACTGCTGCGATACAGGCAGCGACTGCTGCAACACGGGCAGCGACTGCTGCAACACGGGCAGCGACTGCTGCGACACAGGCAACGGCAAAGACTGATCTGCATACAACGGCAGCAACGACTTCTGCGACACGGGCAGCGACTGCTGCGATACAGGCAGCGACTGCTGCAACACGGGCAGCGTCTGCTGCGACACAGGCAGCGACTCCTGCAACACGGGCAGCGACTGCTGCGACACAGGCAACGACTGCTGCGACACAGGCAACGGCAAAGACTGAGACGCAGACAACGGCGGCAACGACTGCAGCGACACGGGCAGCGACTGCTGCGACACAGGCAGCGACAAGTACTGATACGCAGACAACGGTTGTGACATACATGAAGGCAAGGGCTGCGACAAAGACTGCGACACATACAAAGGCTGTGTGTGTGTGTACTGCATGCGTGTGCGCTGTGATTGCATCCTAGACACAGGTTGCGATGCAGTCTCTGGGGTCTGTTTGCCAGGTCGCCACAATGTGTCCATGGAGTTGTTGGTGTGGGCCAATGGTGCTGTCCCAGTGTTGAACTGCTGTGCATTCTCAATCATATACTCGGTGCTTTCAGGAACAATCACTGGCGTAGCAATGTCTGGCACGAAAGCGTTCGCCCACGTTGTATCACTATTTGCAGTTGCACCTTCTACGTCGTTTGGATACTCTTGCCGATCCTTCGTATCTGCCTTTTGATGATGACCATAGCCTTGTAAAGTTGTCTGATGACCAGCGGGTTCGCATAACGGCACACTCTCGCCCGTTTCGGGAACCTGTGCGTCTGCCTGTGCACGACTCGTGCTGTCTGTTTGCTGCATATGGCCGCTCAGGACAAGGCCTGCAGCTCCTGGTGCGTGATCCGTGTCCTTATCTAGACTCGCTAAGTATGCTTTCACCTTATCGGCATTCCGGGTGTACTGTACACCGCTTATAGAGCTGGCACGTGAACTGTTGTAGTTTGAACAAATTCCGTACATGTACTCACTAACCATAGCCACTGTGTTTGCATACATTTCTTGTGTTGCTACATACTCCTCGAACAACTCTGGATCCTCCCGCAATGTACTAAGCAAGCAATGTACTTTTAGGTCCAGCTCCACGAGTGACAGTTTGACAGCACTTACAGGTGATCCAGTTTCGATTTCGTTCAGAACCGCGATTCTTGCTCTGGCGAAGGCGACACTCTGGTCAGCCTTTCTCGACCTCGCATCCATTGAATCCGGCTCGAAGGACCAATTTTAGAGATCCTACTCTGGTTCTGCCCGTACTAGTAGTAGTAGAATCCTAAAGGACGTTTTGGCTCTTCGTTGAGCTCATTTTAGTTATTACACACAGACACTCAGTGTCTTTCCACTCGGAAACAATTCTCCTCATACTTCAGTAAGAATCATTATCATTAGTATCAGAGATACTCAAACTCGTGACTGTCCTCCAAGTAGTTATGATGAGGAAGCGTCTACATCATGACGGCTGGGGTAGATATTCCCACCAGCCGTATGCGACGCAGAAAATGCTAGTGTCAGGATAAGGACATCGTGGAGGCGAATAGAGACATACCGTAGAAGTCTCCGGTAAACGAAAGCAATACGACGGGAAAAGAAGAAGACTGTATAACCATAAACGGGACAAGTCATGGCAGTAAGTATAGAACTAGACTGAAACGAATGGGAACATAACAGGGTTGACTTGACATAGAACGTACATATAACAATAAATCGTAATGTTGTCCGACGGTAACACACAGTAGCAATGAATACTAGAAATGCATCGAAAGTGCAGCTGTCCAATCAGAGACGTGTGTGAAGACGCATGCAAATATCTAACACTCCCTCCGTTGAGGTACAATATCTAACACATATAAATACTGCAAACTTGCCATCTTGGGTTCATATTATTCACAAAAAAAGGAAAAAATGAGCATCCAAAAATATTGATTCCATGATCTAGATGTACATGTGCGTCTTCTGGGGGGAGGGGGGGGGGTCAAGGGAGAGAAGCACCAATATCGTCTCTAAAAAAACATCGATATTTACGGACGGCCCCTTACCCTTCACAATAAACAATATTAAATGATTGACTAACCAAATTCAACTTTGTATTGCCCAACCAGGGCATTAGAGACATCAGTTAGTCTGACTTACTCTCCTCTCATTCAAAGATTGCAGCTCCTTGTGGAGAGGAATTGTCGCTGTCGTCGGTCAAAAGTGCGGCTAGAGCGAATTCAGCTGCAGCAAGCACCTCTGCTGTGATCGCTGTGCAACTCTTGATGTCGCTCCTGTGTGCTGTGCACTAGCCACGATGTCGAGGGTAGTCATTTCCGCCGCCACTCCAGAATGCCGTGATAAAGAGTTGTGCAAACACCTCCACACGGACCACACGTAGGACTCCATCTTTTCTGCTGGGCATTCTTGCCAACAGTCCAAACTAAAAAACAAAAATGATTGCCGGCAGCAATATGTGACCTCAGCCGGCGATTTTCCTCAGCCACCAGAGCCACAACGCTCTAGTGGGTATTGCAAACGCCATTGTTGACATTGGCGTATGGACTTTGTGCTGATTGAGTAACCACGCAGGGAGAGAGCACCCCTTGGTTCTGCTTTGACACACGAAAGCACAACGATTCTCCATTGCAGTATGGGGGCGGGGGGGGGCACCGTCATGCTGGTAAAGGAAAGACTGGCCTGCCTCAGCACACAGTGTGAGAATTGCCATGTGCACTCAGCAGCTTGCTGCTTGGCTTCCTGCACCCGGATACATCGAGCCAGGTCGTACCTTTTAGAATGCCATGAGTTGCCACCATGAACAAAACAAAAACGAAACAAACAAAAAACAGACCAAGTTTTCAGTGCTTGCCGGAGGTGGTACAAGTGTCCACGACTGATTGCATATTATACCACATCACACCGTACATGTATGTGCTTGGAATGTGTGATACCAGGCTGTCAAATAATCAGCGTGAAGAGCCATCTGCAGTGCTGGATGAAGTTTCCATGACGACGACCAATTCGGCCGAATCCACCGCACCGTCCATTGCTTCAAGCTTAGTAAGTCACTTACACATGATGCGCTGGCTTGGACTTGTAGCAAGAGTACGTAACCCACCCACCCTCGCCAATGGTGTGCAACTCCACTGTGCATGGGCGCTGTCCCGACAGAATTTCAACTTGACGCCATTTTGATGATGCAACGAGCACTGTTCTGATTCAGATGTATCCTGAATCTGTGGTGGACAAAGCCCTATTTGATCCTGTACAAACTAATTCAAGCAAACATGTGTGATGCGTTAACACCCGTACAAATGTCGTAAATCACTGGTGCAAGGAGCATTGCATTATAACAAATTAACAATGGCGCCAGCTTTAAATTCTGTCAGGACAGCAGGGTATGCAGGAGTTGCACACTCCTGTGTGGTTATGTACTCTTGCTTAAAAGTATTGTAACTATTTTTTGTAGTTCAAAGTACTAGTATAGACTTGATCGAGGCAAATTGAAACGTGCTTGCCCATACATCGCCTTTTTTGCAAAGTTGCTGAGACCATTGTTATATGAATCTGTCTGCGCTGTGAACAGGATGCCGATTCATCTCAGGATGACATCAGCCTGCACACGGAAAATTTTGAGAGCCAGATAGCTGGGGTAAGTGAAGCATAACTCCATCTGCTCGTGCGGCAAGCAAGCAAGTCCAGCTAGCGTTTTAAGTGGCTGATGTCCCTGGAACAGTTTAGACGGTGAATGTTGCACGTGTCACGCACACTAGAACATCTACTGTATACGCTACATCCACAGAACCTGCTGGGAGAGTATTTAAAACAGAACCTGCTGCTGGGAGAGTATGTAGAACAAGTAAATTGTCGTGTCCGTTCCTGAAGGGAACTCCCGACAGCCACTAATACCCAGTAAACCCTAGCGGAAGATGCAGTGCCTAACGGTGGGGGTGAGAAGATAAGTATCACAACCTCTGAAACAAGTGCCGAGAACGACCCCATTAGCCGCATCCATGTACCCCTTGTGCCTGTGGCCACAAGTTCCCAGTTGACTGTGGGTAGCAGCACGGCTGGAAAATCTCTCCCAGGTGGGACTTGAACCAGGTACCTCTTGTGTCTTAATCATGGTCTTTGACCAACCCACGGTGCCTGCCTGATTTGTGTGTACTGGAGTGTAATCCGGAGCACATTTTTCCTCTTTTTTCAGCTCCAATAGCTGTATTTTTCCTTTGCAAAACAGTCCTCGATTGTTGTGTTCGTTTTTCAAGCGAACCTTTTGAAGCTTCCCGGTGCCATGTTGGTCGTCCATAGTAAGCGTGTGGTGCACGCTTGATGCCCATTGCTCAGTGTTCAACAAATACTTGGCTGTCACGTGGCCACGGTATTGTGTGTAGTACTGTGTACTGTACTGAATTTGTGCAGTGCCGTCGGGCGCCGAAGAACGACCAGGCTAGAATGTCACCAAGCACAGCATACCAATGTATAGTATACACGGTGACTCAACTGTACATAGACTGTAATACATGAAAATAAGAATGGTCTAGGCGAGGAGAGGTCTAAGAATCATCAGTCGTTCTGTCCAAACTGATTACTGAATCAACTGGTCAAGACTCGGCTGAGGACAACACCATTATAGGCTTACTAATTTCGGAACACCAAAAGCCAAACGTAAAGGCTCCACTCGCATTGTTCAATGCTTTCGGAAATACAGCAGAAGAAAGCATATTGTGACTGGCTTGTTTGTACCTGATTTTAAATTCATATGTCCACCTCCTGTCTCTGGCTTCTTGTTGTTTTGGCCGCTTTCTCGGCATGCAGCTCAAGCAGCACATCGTGTTCCTGAAACGGCAACTGGAAAGCCAGCCAGGTAGTGGGCCGACTATTCCCATGGACCTTCTCAAGCTACTCTGCCAGACGTACGAACGTGAGACAGGATACTTTGATGCATCAAAGGTCTCAGCCGAGAAACGCTTGCAGGAAAGCGAGGAGGCTGTAAGTATAATTATGGTGACAGCGGACCTTAGTCCTTGAGGGGTCAGGATGATAAAGGTTAAACAGTGCCATTACATGTATAGTGACCTTAGTCGGCTGGGTACTGAACAGTGCCATTACATGTATAGTGTACCTGGGCTTTTTGGTATTTACAGTTTTTACACTGGTTGTGAGCACTTCGACCTGGGAAATATGTGCTACGGTCATCACTTGATATAATTGAGCCTTACTTCAAGAAAACCATGATGAAAACCATGATGAAAACAATGAGATGTTGTGTTGAGAAGATACCCACACAACTCAGGGATAACATGCCAAAAAAGAGAAAGCCCTTCAATCTTCAAGATTTTACCCTGATTTCTGTGGCCTCCAGTAGACATCATTGTCACGGAATGCAAGTATGTGCACTGCACTTCCGGCTTTGCCATGTCGCCGTACATGCACCGATTGTCTCACGGCCAAGGGCTGGTGAAAGCCAAACAAGTCCACTCTACATTTGGTGTGAAAATGGCCAGAAACATTGAGAGATTTTAAATAAAAGCGCAGTCAAGTGAAACAGGCCAATTTCCTTGGTCAAACATTTAACTTCGTTTTCTGCACTTCACGTGCAGTTACACTTGACTGGTATTCTTGGGGCAAGGATCAATTATATCATGTGTGTGTGTGTGTGTGTGTGTGTGTGTGTGTGTGTGTGTGTGTGTGTGTGTGTGTGTGTGTGTGTGTGTGTGTGTGTGTATGGTACATGGTGTGTGTGTATTGGTGTGTGGTGTGCACGTGTGTGTGTGTGTGTGTGTGTGTGTGTGTATTTATGTGTCGGTGGTGGTGGTGTGTGCGTGCGTGTGTGTATGTGTTTGTGTTTGTGTGCTCACATGTGCGTGCATGCTTGTATCCAATGTTGCTGATTGATAGTATACCAAGTTTGTGAAGAAGGTCAAGAACTCCATCCTACCTGGCAGCATGAGAGTGAGTGGTGGTCGCAGCTTGGTGGAACTTGACCAGTGCATAAACGATGCAAGGTGAGCAATTGTGTGATCGATATTTGCATGTGCTTGTGTGTGTGTGTGTGTGTGTGTGTGTGTGTGTGTGTGTGTGTGTGTGTGTGTGTGTGTGTGTGTATGTGTGTGCGTATGAGTATGTGTGTGTGTGGGGGGGGGGGGGTGTATGTGCGTCAGTGCGTGTGTGTGTGTGTGTGTGTGTGTGTGTGTGTGTGTGCATGTCTGTGGTATGGTGTCGTCCCGGGGATCTCAAGCACCATGCTCCGTACTGCAAATCTAGCAGATAGTCCCTTCGCTTTCATTGCCATCGGCAATGGGCGCGTTCAAGGTTCAAGGTGTGTGGGCATGTGGGTGCCGGCCGGTGAATGCCTGTGACGGAACCCAGATATCTCCATCTTGTCGATTAACTCGAAAATGCAATCCAAATTGTCCAAAAAGTTGTAATGCCTCGGCCATCTTGAGCTGGTTTCATTATAAAATGTCACAAATGTGTAATTAGAGCAGCTGCAATTGCACCACCAAGACAAGTATGCAAAGCTTTACAATTTACAATTGGTGAAACGCCAAGGAGTGAAAGGGACCTGTTGCACTGTGTCTATTAGGAATGCTGGGGGAATCTTGCAGAACTCAATTGATGGTTTACGTGTGATGATGTTCTGCACGGCATGTTGCTCTGATGCAGGTCAAAGTTATCGGCTGTGGTTGCTGACCGGCAAGAGCGACGATCACGCTGGACTCAGATTGAGAAAATCTGCCACTTCAAGGTGACCGAGCCGCAGGCGTTAAGGAAACTCTCTCAGGCAAAGCCAGCTGTACCTGTTGTAAGTAGAGCGGCGGGAGAACACCGATTGAGTCGGAAAGGCCCAAAGGCGTCCACCTTTAGTGGATCTGCAACACCAACAGAGTGGGAAGTAACTCCGGGGTGTGTGCAACGCTCCATTTCATCCCAAGATCCTCATCGACTGACAAAGCAACCAAGCACAGCCACATTTCATACTGCATCTTCCCATACACGGAGTCTAAGTCCGAGTAGCCACACTACCTCACTTGCAGCAATCCCCATGCCATTGCCAACATCAGCATCAGCCCATTCCCTCCAACGAATGCCTGAGGTGGATGAATCAGACCAGTCACCGTCTCCTCAGCGACGCAGAAAGGATCAAAGCGGAGGCGATGAGGCCGGCCGGCGTCGTAGAAGTGACGAGGTGACGGTCCGCAGGCACGTCACCAAGTCTTCATCTGCTACCTCAGCCAGCTTCACGGCGCCGTTGACGAAATCAAGTCGGCAAAAGAGTGACCCTGGAAGCGGCAAGAGCACTCCAGTCAAGCTCCCTGCCACGGCTGGTGGTAGTAACCACATCATAGAAGATGCAAGTGCTCCGGAGAGCGAAGTTTGAGGCTGCCTTGGATTTCATTGCAAGAAAAATAGCTCTATATAATGGACCATATGCTGCTGGCCAATAAGGTGTGCCTTTCGTAGCTTCTTACATCGCACATCGTATAGCTTATGTATGGTTGTATTGTAGTAGTTTCCAGCGCGATCTGTTGATTTTGTTAATTTTTTTAAATACTGTTATACTTCGAAGGATGTAAATTTGGAGCTCTGAGCAGTGAGGCCTAGACTGATACTGAACTCTGCGTAAACGTTATGCTTAGCAGAGAATGAAGACTATCATGATGTGGAAACTTTCTGCATTAGAGTATGGAATGACAATTGCTACCTGACTAAATCTCTTCCATACCCTCTTGATGAAGATTATCGCGCCATTACTATGCCATTTCTCACAAATCTTCTTCAGTTTGTCTATGACAATTATTCTCAAGAGAAAAGACGGCAATGCTTATCCAGTATGCCGGCTTACTCGTCCTGATCACTTCAACACATACATGTAGCGGTATGTGCCCTTGTAAACTTTCTCATTTTCTGTCGAGACTGAACTGGATTGTTTTATAGCATGAATCAATGTGAATACTGTATCTCACTGACACAAACTTTTCTATTTATTCCCAGTTAAAGGCAAGCTTGTGCAAATGTGTATAGAGTCCCGGTGACCATGGTGACCGATGTGTTGTGTGTTGCCAAGGCAACCGTGATGAGCAGAGCACGTTTTCATGTTCCCTGCCTCCGCCGTAGGTTCATGACTATTGTTCAGTACTGCATGACTGTACTCATGTCTATCATGCCGACGTGTACTTGTGCCAGTTGTGGACTGGCTCTCTCACTGCTCAGTTTTCATGCAATGACTATGTGCCATGGTGTCATCCCATGGCCCATTAGTTCTTAGGACAACTATGGTATGCCGTGCACTTCTATGCTGTGCTGCAGCTAGCATTGCAAACATGGTACCCGAAATAGGTGTTCATAGTGTTTTGTCCTATCATCAGTTGAGATGCTTCGACTAAGTCGCGGCACAGAGCGCTGGCGACACACGTCAACAGCTTTTAGTGACATTTTGCATACAAATCCCCATCGACTATGATCTAGTACTTAGTAGGGCGCAGTCACCCAGTTTTGGTGGAAGTGCGCGAGTTCGATTGGGAATAAAGGAGGAACGGAGCGTCTCAGCTTTCTCGGACCAAGACCATTCGACTCAACACCCCGAAGACTACAAAAACAAGAATAGAAGACTCCCTACAAGTAATACCGGTATTATAGTGAGGGTCAGAACCGGGGCTAGCCCGGGCCCCCCATACGGTTCAAATGGTCGCAAGACCGGGGCTCTGCCAACGGTGGAGGTTGTAGAAAGGAGCACTGTTTTCAAACGCAGTGCGTCGTCCACCTTGGGCTTGAAACATGCTGTCAACGAAACAAAATGACTTTTGAATACATGACTGATTGTAGATGATTGTGTTCTGTCCGCAGATTGAGTAAAGTCATGTCATGTACTTCCAAGTACATGACATGATGTAGGTAGCCTACTGTACCTGAGCAACTCCACGCACCGTTCCGCTCCATAGCGCTGTATCCGAGGCCAGAGGCCAGCCGCAATCCACATCCGATTTTCTTGTTCTCTTCCTCACAAGTCATTAGTACCTGCCGGGCGATTCAGAAATTATTTCGCCCCGGTGCGAAAGCTGAGGGAAGGAAGTCCAAGAACTAGCGAATGCTCGAGCGCGTATTCTCCGGAAACTTCTTTGGCACGTATCTAAAAGATGATGACAATGTTCTTTCAATAATTATTTGTGTGCGCCATGCAACAGACTTGGGGTGACCCCCGGGTCATACAGTTACCTGCAGTAATGTTTATACCCGTACATTTAATAGTCTCCTAAACACTCAATCATGCACGGTCTCTTCGATGCATACCCTAAAATCAAAATATTTTCACCAGTTGTAGTCTTCGGGGTGCTGAGTCGAATGGTCTTGGTCCGAGAAAGCTGAGACGCTCCCTTCCTACTTGAATCCCAATCGAACTCGCGCACTTCCACCGAAACTGGGTGACTGCGCCCTACGAGATGGGGATTTGTATGCAAAATGTCACTAAAAGCGCCATTTCGTTCTTATAAAAGCACGGATGACCGCGATTGGCCCATATGTTGTACTCTTTTGGACGCTGAGTCGACTGGTTTTAGTCCGAAAGGGCTGCGATGCAGCGTTCCTCCTTTATTCCCAATCGAACATGGCTGAACAAGCGGTCACGTGCTCCTGGCTGCCCAAATCACCTGGTCATCACGCCAGCAGGCGACAACTTTCACACCAAGGTTCAACTCGAGTTCAACTCGAGTGACAGGACTGCACCCAAAAAAGGTCAAACAGGCTAGTAAGTTGTACCCTGCAGGCACGGTGACCAGGTGACTGGTGTGCGCAGGAGCACGTGACCGCTTGTTCAACCATGTTCGATTGGGAATAAAGGAGGAACGCTGCATCGCAGCCTTTTCGGACCAAAACCAGTCGACTCAGCGTCCAAAAGACTACAACATATGGGCCAATCGCGGTCATCCGTGCTTTTATAAGAACGACATAGCACTTTTAGTGACATTTTGCATACAAATCCCCATGTAGTAGGGCGCAGTCACCCAGTTTCGGTGGAAGTGCGCGGGTTCGATTGGGAAAAAAGAAGGAAGGGAGCGTCGCAGCTTCCTCGGATCAAGACCATTCGACTCAGCACCCAGAAGAGTACAACTGGTAAAAATTTGATTTTAGGGTATACATGTACTTCCCCGTTACTTGAAATACGAGGGTTCACCAATTATTTTCTGGTCTGGCCCATCATCAGAATGAATTTGAAGACACCACTGCAGCTGTACTAATGGTTGATAAATATGGTGGTAAAGACACACCTGGCAATATGGCGGTAAACACACGCCTGCCCACACACGCTCTCTAGGCTGCAAAGTTCTGGCACAGAGCTCTCCTTCTCACCACCACCACCATCAGTTTGCGCCTGGCGCCTGGTCGATGCATGGTTGGCGGTATCCGGCATAGCAGGCGTGTGTTTACCGCCATATTGCCAGGTGTGTCTTTACCACCATATTTATCAACCATTAGTACAGCTGCAGTGGTGTCTTCAAATTCATTCTCCCGAGTCAAGCTCCGTGTGAAGACATCCAAGAAGAAGATTGCCTGATGAGTCCAGCGGGGACGAAACGTACGTCGCAATCGAGCTATGTCGTTGCTGTGTCATCTGCTATGTGCCATGCACTACTTGATGTACCAGCCTGCTATGCCGGATACCGCCAACCATGCATCGACCAGGCGCCAGGCGCAAACTGATGGTGGTGGTGGTGAGAAGGAGAGCTCTGTGCCAGAACTTTGCAGCCTAGAGAGCGTGTGTGGGCAGGCGTGTGTTTACCGCCATATTGCCAGGTGTGTCTTTACCACCATATTAACAACCATTGGCCCATCATCAGGCCAGGGTAAAAAGAAAACAGTAACCAAAAACCGAAAAGTGCAGTAGATACCGGTATGCTGTGACGTACATGTATGAGGTGCATGCTGTAGTATATAGTGTAGGAAAGTGATGAGAAGTGTGTCGAAAAAGGTGCTAGAAATGTGTGTAGGTGTGGAGAGTAGCAGCATTGGTGAAAGGTCCTGGTGTTGGGAGGAAGGAAGGAAGGAAGGGGGAGACGTGGAGAGCTGTGTGTGTGTGTATTAGTGCGACACAGAAAATAGAATGCAGAAGCTAGCAAACAGAAAAATATTTGGACAAATATTCGCTATGTACGGGTAGATCTACTATACTCAGTGTACAACCACTGTCAACCAGTTAGCACACACATACACCATTCTGTGCCACTATGTGCAACATCGTACACATTCACACTGTGTCTATCACAACACAAACCCCGACTGTACACATGTAAACACCCTCGGGGGCCTGGCCCGCATAATACCGGTACATGTAATTATAATGTGCCCTTGGATAGGCGATTGCTAACTCTGGCGGTGTGGATACGAAGCATGAGGAGGCGGAGTTAACAATGGGCGTTTTTGGATGATGGGGATGAGGCCAAGGGCGTGTGGAGATGGGATCTGTGTGGGTGGGGAATTGCTGGTTGCCAACGCTGCGGATCATGTGACATCGCTTGTCGAGGACCTGAAGCTGATGCCGTTGGTGAGCAGAGAAAACCAAGAAGAATGCATTGGATCCACAAAACATGTCATGTAGTATTAGCGATCTGTAAAAATAACAGGGCTTTTTGCTCAGTTAAACAGGAGCGAATGGCTCGCAGCCAGTTTCTGGGAAGTCTTCCGTGTGAGAGTCGCAACTTGAGTCTCCCACGGAAGCTGGGAGTCGAGATGCAGACTAGGTATCGAGCAGTTGTGGTCTGAGCTAGGGGACTCTATTACATTCTATGTTTTAAAAGCGATGAGGGCTGCCTGCGGGACGCATGTAGGGCCAGAACGTGGGTTTGGGAGGGATTTGGTATCAATCCTTTTTCTTCCAGAAAACTGGCCAGGCTGCTGAGGCTGGAAACCGAACGGGGGAGGGTTAAATTCAAGAATTCAACAGATTGGCTGATCGCGTCTAGCAGGATATCATCAGTAAACATTTGTGAGTGGGCTGGAGCTGTGATCTGTTCTATTTCCATTGTGTACATGGAGAACAAAAGAGGATCGTAGTATTCAGGAAGAGAAAGGAGGGAACGCTCAGTAGATCATCAGGTTGCGAGCAGGGTTACAAATCAGTGTGAGAGAGTGGAATAGTGACCAGGTGACAGACAGAGACCAAGAGCCGATCGGGGGCAGATATCAGTCAGTGACCAATAGTCCGTGAGCCAAATCTCAGAATCGGCTGTTTTAGCATCGACCGTTGCACCCAGAGATGGACAAATCGTCCTTCAGCACACCGCTTCACGATGGTATCCTGAAGCGATTTCCACTTGTTGGACAGTTCGAAACTGATCCAGGGAGGTCACAGAAGACGCCAAACATCCAACTTTGCTCAGTGACAGCAGCGGCCATTTTCGCCTTCTTCGCTTGATTTTTTTGCGCTTGTTCACGGATTCTCATTTTTTGAAGCCATGAGCAGGTACCACGATCGAGTGCACATAACGCGGAAACCAGTGCACAAAACTAGATTCGAATTTTTTTGCCGCTGAGAATTATGAATCGGGATGCAAACTGCATGCAGCAAAGTAGTCAATACTGTTTGTAGTTACAATGCAATCGTTCAGAACTGACTTCCAAGAATGTCCTAAATATCTCTCGACATATTTCAACCACTTCCTAGGCCAATAGGCGTAGTAGACTGTAGTGAGTAACCTTCTGGAGCAAATGACGACTGCCCCGAGCATGAACTTCTTTTCATCCTGTTCAAGGTCAAATATTACTCAGTTTGCGTTGAAGAATAACAATTACATTCGTGAATGGCCGAACTGAGAAAACCCTCATGATTTCTCTTGGATTTCGTATCCCAAGTTCCTCTACTTGGCTGGATAAATCGCCTCTTGACTTCATCATACTGGACTGGCACTTGTAGATAATAGCGAGCAATGAATTGGTGAGTGAAGTATATTTCAAAAGTAATAACCACTCGATTACTGAATAGTAGTGAATACGTAGAATACTCCAGTATTATAATGATATGAACAC